CCAATTAAATACAGATAAGGTGAGCTTTAGCTCTTTAATCGAAGACACGAATCCCTAAAGAAAGTCCCAAACTAGTTGGGACGTAACACGCTTATCGAGGTAATGGGGAGAGTGTTGAGGGTTATGGAGCACGGGTTAATGAAATATTGGATAGGGGACTTACGGCGGCAAAGGAGAACTTTGATCTTCAGCAATCCGAGGGGGTCATGGTTCTTCTTAATAGATTGGCGATTACGAGATTTAAGAGTGGTTTATTTAATGTAAACACCAGGATGTTAATGATTAGAGAGCAGGCAGATAGTTTGGAGTCTGTGATAAATTTTGCATCGAAATTGGTAAGGGAGTTTGAGTTTCAAAAGCTGCCTTTAAATTCAGACTCATTTGGTATTATATCAAAAGTGTGTGTAGTGGGTAATCCGGCTCGCAGGTGTTTCAATTGCGATCAATTGGGACACACGCGTAAACATCGTAAAAGTCAAAAGAAACCGTATTCAGAGTTAAATGTTCATAGAACGCTCAAATGTAGATTTTGTAGGAAAAGTGGGCATACAGAAGAACGGTGCTTTAATAAAAACTGTCCTTTTAAATTCAGGACATCCGAATTTTCCCCCGCAGAGTCTTCACAGGATTTAAACTTCGAAAGGGCCCCTCGAACAATCGGATCGCAGGGCAAACCCTTAATTGCGTGCATAGATACTATTGTATCGCCCACTGTTCAAGCTTTCTCACCCCGAGTCCACACTGCGCGGACACTGGTTCGCGTACATCGTTCGTGAACATGGTAGCTAACCCTGTCATTCACCGGTTTTCGCCGTAGTGTGGGCTGGAAATAACAGAGTTCGCTAACAAATGACCCTCCTAATCGGCGTAAAGTCGTAAAAGTAGCCCCGCTGGGTTAGGCGAAAACTGTGTTCGCGAACCAAATTCAGCGATCCATGAGGTGGTGGATCCGGCGAACACGTTCGGGAAAAACATCGCCTTTTTCCTCGTTCTTGTCTCTTTTCAAACCCTCGGAGCTTGGGCATTGCCATTCTTTCTAACTGTGGGGCTGGTCTTTATGACCACCCGCAGGTAGGTACATACTCCAAAGGGATAATATGCGTGACCGAAGTTAACTTGAGTTAAGTTATCTTGATGAAAGTATATGTAATATATTGGCGAGATTTTCCTGATAAAAATGGCATCAAACACAATGCAATTCAGACAACTTTAAGTTTTGTTTACAATATGCAATATTTTTATAATATTAATACTTGATTTTGTGAGCCAGTAACCGATTAGAAAGTCTGTCCGAAAATAGGAAACAGATTGTAAAATTCTTGCCAGGAGGTAATTAGGGCCTATGAAAAAACTAGGTAACTTTTGTAGCTATGTGAACCTGATACCCGACTTTTCAAAAATTCATTTTTTTATGGAAAATAATAGCATTTCGTTTGTACTTGACTGTACTATCAATAGTTTCGTTTGTACCTTCATGAATTAATAAATAAAAAAAATAAAAAAAATGACAAGCACCCGACATTGAGATTTTTGAAATTTGTTTTTTCCCTATTCTTTAGAATCGTTTGTACCCGTTTGTATCGCTTTTCGTTTCGTTTTTACCTCAATAGTTTATGATTTATAAGAAATTGTTTATACGCGTAAGGAGGGAGTTCGACACTCATCAATTCTGGGTATTTCTAAAGAACTCATTTTGAAGTGGAAACGTAAGGGAATGAGACCGCATTGTTTTCAAAATTAAAGTTACAGGCACAGAGGAAGAACAGATTTAAAAAATGTTGAAAACTAATTTACTCCTTTCTTACGCGTACAACAATTGACTGTAAAATTTGAACTACTGAAGTATGAACGAAGTGAAAAAACAGATTACAAAAATCTCAATGTCGGATGCTGGGTGATTTTTTTTTTTTTTATTTATTAATTGATGAAGGTACAAACAAAACTATTAGTGGTTCAATCAAGTACAAACGAAATGCTATTATTTTCCATAAACAAATGAATTTTTGAAAAGTCGAGTATCAGGTTCACATAGCTAACTTTTTTGTGAAGCTGATAAGAGACGTAAAATGGTATTTTAAAAAATATTAATAGGCAAGCATACTGTCTTAAAAAAAAAGGTCAACGAACATTTCTTGAAGAATAGTATGTGTAATATATATAGGGTGTAACAAAATCTATTACTTGTTATAAGCGAAACTCAAAATTGTCTGAATTGCGTCGTGTTTGATATCATTTTTATCAGAAAAATCTCGCCAATATATTGCATATATTTTCATTAAGATACAACAAAAAAAGCACAGAAACTTGGATGAATATTAAGGAACTAATATTAACTACGGTCACGCATATTATCCCTTTGGAGTATCTGCCGGCGGGTGGTCGTAAACGGTCGTTTGCTTTCGAGCATTTCCAACCGTGGAGGGGATGCGGATCGCCCAAATTCACAAAATAACATCAGTTTCACAGGAGTACGAACATCGTAGATATTCGTCGGCATGTTAGCGACAGTAAGAACACCCTTGCGAATGTTTTTAGGGTATGTTCTTATTTTGTGTTCGCGCAGTGTGGACTCGGGGTCAGAGCCCAGTTCATTAATAGTTCGATTGGAACATGCCGTTATGCCGATTTCCTTGTAGACATCGGATCACTATTAAATTTAATTAAATTACAGGGTTTGGATTCGCACGCAGTTCTAATAATCTTGTCACGTGCGGCGTGAACGCCAGTAAAACCCTAAGTCCTTAAAAATAAAACCGCACGGACGCGCAACAATAGACACAACACAGTTCATGGTTAGGATCAAACACCTCTAGTTCGATAAAAAAATGAAATAAGTGGAGCTTGTCATGTAAGCAATGTTTTATTGGTCCATTATGTCGACATGACACTAGAGATATTTTCTAACACATGATGGATCGAATAATTTTGATTACTTTATTTGAAAATTTTACATACTTTGCGTTCTTAACGTCATACATAAAAAGTTATAAAACAGTTAATTACTATTCGTATACATAAATAGTAGCTTGTATAAATGTTATCGTGTTTTATTGCAATAATCTCTTGTCAATTCAGTTTTGTCGCGATCACGTGGTTTTGTTTGGATCTACTTCATCGTCCAATGGAACGTTCTATAGTCCAGTAATTTATTAAAGTTTTGAGGTTAGATGAGTGTATTAGAAATTATATATTGCTTGAAAATTATTGAAAAATTGCAGCTTTGAACGATTTTGATCATTTTTCTAATAGAGTGAGACTTGGTAAAACGTGGTAATTATATTGGTGCTTCAACAAAAATTGTTATAATATGGTAAGCAAAAAATTTAATATTATTTAGGTTAAAAGTTTATTTTTTAATATATTTCGAATACATGATAACATCACGATTAAATTTAAGGAATATTTTTGTAAAATCTTAGTTTTCCTCGAATATTTTCTTAGAAATTTTAATTTTAAAATGCAATTATAATTCTAATTTACTAAAAACCTGTAATTGAACGTAGTCTACTTTAAGCATGGATGTTTTTACATTTTTACATTTTTATGTTTTGTAGATGTGCCTGTAATAAGTAAATATTATGAATTATATACCTATAATTATTATATTCAAAATTACGTGTTTCGTTATCTACATTTTAAATGTAACAGAGTACAAATGAAAATATTCCTTATTAGTAGCCTTATTTGACATAATTCAATATCGATATTGTTATAGTATTAGCAATAATGAACTATGTACAATTTTCTTTTTAGCCAAAATTTAAACATGACATTGAACTTCCAATATCAATTCCTGAGTTGCTATTGGATAAACATGCAAATTTTTTACTTTCTTATGGCACTGATAAGGATGAATATGTAAGTATGATCATTATTATTTTAGTTGTGCATTACTTCTATTTTGTAATAATATCATAATAGATAGACACAAGTAATTTTTATAAATAAAATCCATAATATAGGCCTATATAAATGATGAACAACTAACAAGTATATAAAAATGTTCCAGATATATTGTACAACGGAACACTTGAGAATGTCTGGCATGTATTGGGGTTTAACAGCGCTAGACCTTATGGGCAAACTTGAACAAACCAACCGGAATGAAGTTCTTGAATTTATAGCCCAATGTCAAACTGAAAGTGGTGGTATAGCAGCTAGTTTGCAACATGATCCACATCTTCTTCATACCTTGAGCGCAGTACAGATACTTTGTACCTATGATGCTCTTGATGTTATTGATGTGGAGAAAGTTGTAAAATACGTGAAGGAGAGACAACAGCCGGATGGAAGTTTTACTGGTGATATCTGGGGTGAAGTTGATACAAGATTTTCTTTTTGTGCCGTAGCAACTTTATCACTCCTGGTTAGTATAAATATAACATACATACAGGCTTCAAATAAAGTAGAAAAACATTGTTTTAGAACCGATTGGATGCGATAGATGTTAATAAGGCTGTTGAATTTGTAATTAAGTGTATGAATTTTGATGGTGGCTTTGGCTCAAAGCCAGGAGGCGAAAGTCATGCTGGTATGATTTACTGCTGTGTGGGACTTTTGTCGATAACTGGTAATTCCTCACTTTTTTCAGAGATAAATGCTGTGAGGTTTTTACAAGAAAATAATGTTTCTAGATTGCCTTAGTTTGGTAGATGCAGATCAATTAAGTTGGTGGCTTTGTGAAAGACAGCTACCATCTGGAGGTTTAAATGGTAGACCAGAGAAAGCACCTGATGTTTGTTATTCCTGGTGGGTTCTTTCTGCGCTCACTATTCTTGGGCGACTTCATTGGGTTAACAAGGAACAGTTGGTATGTACTCTCTGAAAAGTAATAACTTCTTTTCCAAGGTAATTAATTAATCTTTAATTACTATATGCATTATATTCAATTATAAAGTTTAAATAGATTTTTGTTTGCAACGCTTTTTTCAAACGTTTTTTAAAATTTGTCGTTTATCTTAGTTTCTAAGCTGAACTAATTTTTGACAGGTTATAAATTGTGCAGTATTAAAAAATGAGATAAAAACAAACTAAAAATTCGACTAAGTTCAATAAGTTCTTTTTGATCCCTATAATTCATTTACGTTCTTAGAATAGTTTTGCAAAATCATATTTTCATATGTTTTGAAAAAATGAAAAAGAAAGCGGAATTATTAACTTTGTGCTTTAATGTTGAACTACAGGTAAAGTTTGTATTAGCATGTCAAGACACAGAATCAGGAGGATTTAGTGATCGTCCAGGGGATGTTGCCGATCCTTTCCACACTCTCTTCGGATTGACTGCACTTTCCCTATTAAATGCCGATTATCCTCTTAAAAGAATCAATCCGACATATTGCATGCCAGAATATGTTATTCAGAGGCTACAGCTCAAACCTTCAAGACTAGACCAAAGCGATTAACATTCGATTGAAAAAGTTTAACTCTTTATTAAAATTAAGTTTTTATGAAATAATGCAAGAAGAGAAAATATAACATGAATCTTTTGCACAATTGTTTCATTTATTTCTTTATCTATAAATTAAAAATATTTTATAGAACTTTGTTAACAGTATATATTGTAATATGTTACTGTAAAAATACATGCTCAATGCAACTTAATGCAAATAAGATATATTGTTAAACTTTAAGAACGGAATGTTGCATTATGGGGATTGTACGACTCCTAGCGATGAAATAACTCGAGGAAAAGCACGAACTAATTTATTCTAACTTAGTTCAAAGAAATTAAAATCTTTTTTTAACTCGCCAATGAAAAATAAAATAATGAAATTAAAGTAACCTTTATTGTACTATAATATTAAAAACGTATTAGGTCAAGTACTAAATCCGGTCAAATTATTATGTAGTATAAAATCACCTCATATTAAATATTTTGGTTAATTATTTTTCAAACTGTCGTAAATGGAAAAACAACTGTTCATATAAAAGTAGTTTGACTTTAAAAGGGAAATATGATAGCAATGTTCAATATTTTGTGAAATTATTCACGGAGATTTCAATATCGCCATTTTTTAAAATAAAGACTACACTTCTGTTTATTGATGTATTTATATATTCTTGGTAATGCAGAATTACGTTATTATAATGTAAAAAATAAATTTTCTGATATCATTAATAATTTTGTTTGCATGTTGCTCGACTAACATAGGACACCCTGTACAACTTTTATAATTATAAAGAAACAACTTTATCTACATTCTATAGATACAGATAAAATATCGAGTGTATATATATTTATAACAAAAGTTCTTTTATTTGCAAATGTAGAAATCGGAGAAAGAATTGTTAATAAGACTTTAATATGACACAATTATTCAATGAAGTGATATCCAATATGATAAAATAAGTACTTTATATATCCTTATTAAGTGTCTAATATTCTAATTACCAATAACAAATGACATTATGCTAATACATTAGATCACAATTGTTATATTCTTTGAAAAATTTTTAATATTTTAACAGGTGAATCCATTGGCTGTATACGTAATTTTTGTTCTGACACTCTACATTCTTCAAAGGAAAGATCGTGTAATTCTGAAAATCAACGAACAAATATTAATTATATAAAGTATTATTCATGTAGGAGGGCAATGACCGAAGCTGATCATATGATCGAGTGTACCTCCTAAAGACACCGTGCAATATTATTATTATAAATAATGTTGTTCCGAAACGTACATATGTATGTCTAAAAAACACCGCGCCGCGGCCGTACGAGCGACTGCTATTAGACAAGTATGAGTGAAAGTGAAAAAGAAAGAGCGAATGTGGATCGAGTGGATATAAACGCACGAATGTCAAGGCAGCGTCAGAATTATTCCGAAAAGTATAATTGAAAACAGCGATTAGCGGTGATACAGTGATTCTTTTGTTACAACGAATAATATACGGTCTTTTCCATTCTTTAAAACTTGTATGTTCTTATCTCGCACCCGATTCCTACATTCAAAAAGCAAATTATTTCTACTGGTTAGTAAAATACCTAATTGGTGTAGAAACAGTGAAAAAGTATCCATATTACGAATCGTTGCCGCAATAATGCCATATCTGTTGTTAAAAGACAGTAAGGCTTTTAGTCCCACCACTAGTGCAGAAAATGAATTTGTTTCATATAAAATATCAGCGCCAATTATTACATCCGGTACAGTCCAATTTTCGGTTAAGTACTTCTTAATATCTTCCCATCTTAATTCCATTACTTCAACATTCGTATTATTATCCCTCATTTGAAATTTTAATCTATCAGTTTTTAATTGTGGTTTAATTTGTACTGTTTCTTTATTTTTTTGTAAATTAAACTTGATATTTGCAGAAACCATTTCTAAGACAGTTCTGTGACAATCAGTAAAAACATATTGTTTTGGGGAACATTTTTTGATAATACTCAATCCTGTTAATCCAACTCCACAACCAAGTTCTAAGATGACTTTTCCACAAAATTCACTTTTGTTTTCTATGCACCACTTGCTTAGTTCAACTGCTCCCTATAAGTTGTAAGTGTTACCATAACAGAAGAAAATAATTTTATTCAACAATGATATTGAAATACCTGCCAACTACATAATCCTGTTGTACCTTCCGATATAATATTTGTACTTTCTTGTATGCTTATGTAATCAGAATCTTGGTCATCTATTAAAAAGTGTCTATAATGAATAACCTCATTTAACGATAAAGATATTAAGTTACAATATGCAGCATATATTTCATCGTGAATTTCGCCGTCTCTTTCTTCAATCTAAATTAAGATCAAGAGTTTTATAGATGTGTTCCTTTTCTTGTGTAAGTTAGGGTTCTGTACCATACCTTTTTCATAAGCAATTTTAAAAATGCTTGTTGATATGATCGTTTTACAGGATATTTTTTAACTAAGTCATTATTTACTGTGTTTTCTAGAATCTCTTTCTGCCTATTTAAATCAAAAAAACAACCAATATTTTTCGTAGGTCCCTGAAAGTAATACATAATTGTTTGCAACACAATAAACTATTTAAAGGTACAACAAAAGATTTCCATACAAGTAAATCCATTGTATTCAGCGGTGTGCAGCAAAGAAATTGTTTTATCAAATTATTTGTATCGAACAAATCCTGACCCATTTTATATTCCGTGAATAGTGTACCATATGTACTATATGTACGTAGTTATCTTCAACTTTCTTCTAAACAGTAATATTATATAATTACTTTTATATATATAAACTTTCTTCTTATAGAAATACGTTAGCTATTATAAGTTAAATAATAAGGGAAAAATAATTGTTTTACTATAGTCGCTGACAGATGTCAGAAGTACCAAGAAGTACACGTGCTCATAGATCAAGACAGAGTTTTTTGAAGTAATTTCTTTTTTAAAATAATGCTGTATCATACGACGGTACGACATACAATTCAAAAAATGAGAGAAACAGGCTGACATATTTTTTTAAGCGACTGAACATCAGTATCACTTATTATTGTGTCCACGGCAGGGGTTACCACTTCAGCGGTGGTTCGGAATGTGATACTCCCGCCGGTACTCGAGTCACATACACAGACATACGCATTCATACAAACTCAGAACTCTATCTACCATTGTACTATATTAAGGGTGCGCAGGAGATCCAGCAAATCTCTGAGTTGACTTCAGCGACAGTTGCGGAGAAAGTAGGAAGCTCTGGGACAAGGATAGATAGATCCTTGTCTCTCCAATGATGCTGCGACAGAGAGGGAGATTCATCAAATTGGAGGAGAGACAAAGACAGAATGATGTCAAACGTTTGCAATTTTCCAAACAGTTATTATAACTTTATGAGGCGAGGAAGCGACCTTTCCGACTGATTTTTTTTTAAACTGTTCCTTATAAAATACCGCTGAGGGGGACACATACACATTTTGCAATTCGCTTTTGAAACGTGCTAAAAATACGTTTAAAGACAATACATTTTTTGTGGGTCTTTTTCCAAAAATCTGAACGTATCCCCCGCAACAGCATTTTACAAGGAACAGTTTAAAAAAAAATCAGCCAAAAAGGTTGCTTCCTTGCCTCATAAAATTACAATGGTGGTGTCGCTACGATTGAGACGATTCATATGCCAACATGGCTGCCTCAATATCGTGCTTTCCACCGCAGCGCTGTCGTCGTCTTCCTTTCTGTTACCGTGTCGACCATCTAAATACGCTTTTCGACTTGATTCGCAGGTATCATAGTCGGCTGGGTTTTTTCGCGCACGCGCAGCGAACATAGCATCAATGAAGTATACGCACGACTAAAAAGGTGTATCTTAATTACCCCTGCATAATTTTACAAATATATTCATGATTTATGGACAAATGCAGGACAATATATAAAGACAATATATAAGTATAGACAATATATAAATAATAAGGACAAATATATTCATGATTTCGCGCTCATAGCCACAATAGCCATAGCACCCCACACCTGTTACCCTGGATACGACACTGTTGACGGTCATTCTGGCAGTACATGGGCGAAAAAACTTGGCCTGGCTGATATCACTGATCGTAGTATCGTACATAAGATATCGCTAGTTCGATCCCAAGCTGTTGTGTATTTTTTTTATTGTATCTTGTATAATTTATAAAAAAAAAAATTTTTTTTATATAAGAGGTAATATGAAATATAAAATACACACAAATAGCCTAATACTTTCCTGTTTCGCTGTATGTATATCGTGTTTGGTTTCATTGTAATCATAAAAATCTTACAAATACATTGGAAAAATTTAGATTTAAAAAAATTAATAAATAAAAAAGTTTTATTGTTACATTAGTATTGTCTCGCGCCCCCCGATATGTTTTGGTTCCTAGCTTCGTGCATTGGATCTCTCTCTCTCTCTCTCTCTCTCTCTCTCTCTCTCTCTCTCCTCTTTCTCTTTCGCTTTCCTCTCTCTGTTTCTTTCTATGTTCGCGCTCGGCTGGAGCCGCATCTAAACTTAGAATCGACACCTCGGCTGGTTATTATATCTACATACATTGTATATGTAACCAAATGTTTCGATCAGCTTCGAATCCGTCCAAAATTTGAAGGCGTCGACGAAGTAGAAAGAGACAGTTTGATGAAGAAGAAAGAGAGACTGACAAGGGAACGGGCCCAGATATGACGCTAATTTTTTGATGAGCCTCTGCACAGTGGAAAACTGAAGCGAATGATATTCAGTTTTGGGTGTAAACGATTTATAGTTTACGTCAGTGCTCGGAATTACTTGCACATTTCGGCCTGATTCCTGAAGCACCACCTCCTGCATCCCCCCTACCGGTCTAGGCTCGACGGCCGAGTCGGCGATCGTACGCGCGACGTTGTTTCTCAGGGACGTGCTACAATAGATATCTCAGGTTTCACCCCCGTGAGTAAAAATTTCCTTGCGCTGTCAGTATAATTTATTTTTACAGATAAATAAAGTTATTAATATTATGTTTAGGTTTATAAACAATAAACCTCTTGGGTGATGTGGAAAGTTATTGACAAATTTGCAATCATTATATCATATATTATTGTTATTATATGTATATATAAAAGGTGTTTATAAAATTCCGTTGCGGGAGATAGTTACACATTTTGAAATTTCGCTTTTGAAACGTGCTAAAAATACGTTCAAAGGCAACAAATTTTGTTTTTTCAATTTTTTCCAAAAAACGCTTGACAAGACGATAGATTTACTTTCCCTGATTACGAAATGCATAATTATTATATGTTTTTTTCATTATTGTACCTGAAAAACGGGAAAAACTATCTAGTAGTTCACCTATTTTCCGTTGGTGGCGCCAGTTTGTTTTCTGCTGTAGGCCCGCGAGCCGTTCGCTCGGTCGAGTTCCCCATTTGTATGTTTCGTGCCCGAAGTCGCGAGCGTGGGAACAAAGCCATAGGGTGGGTTTTATTTACCACGCGCTGCGACGCGCTTTAGAACGAGCCGAGCCAGCGTGCGTAGCGCATCATCCAAGTTTTCTTGTACACCATCTTAATAAACTATTCCATTTTGTAACTTCAGTACGGAAGTTTTCTTGCGTTTTCTGACACTAGTCAGACTTACGGATAAAGTATTGTAGGAGCTTTATTCGTACAAATAGTTTCCCTACACTGCGCACCCTTAATATTAATATAATATAGTATAATATTAGTACAGTTCAGTATATCTAACCTATAAAATACAACTCAATCATCAAATACAAATATTGGCCATGTGGCATGATGTTTCGTAGAGTATCTCAGCTGTGATGCCAGATTTGGCTCCCAGTTGCGCATGCGCGTCTGGGATCTATGATCCCATAGCAACGGTTGGCGCCAAAACCAGGTTAACTGTTTTTTAATTATAAAAAATCCGTTTTGTCTGTAAAATTATTTCAACTCCTATCTCTATGTTATAATTTATCCACAAAATTAATATTCTTGCATGCTAACAAGTATTTCCAATTTTCATTTGTGATTCAATTCTTCTTTAGGGCGAGTAAGGGCGCCAGTTTTATGCATACGGGTGTCCAAAAAATGTGATACCTTGAAAGAGGTGGTTCGGGAGGTGATTTGAAACAACATTTTTCGTTAGCGAAAATGTTGTTCGAGTCTTTGTTGAGGAGATATTAATAGAAAACCCCGACCAATCAGAGCGCGTAGCCTACGCTACCCCGACCAATCAGAGCGCGTAGCCTACGCTACCCCGACCAATCAGAGCGCGTAGCCTACGCTACCCCGACCAATCAGAGCGCGGCCGCTTAGCGCCGTAGCATACACTACCGCAGCCGCTCCACCGGCATCCTCGCACTCTGATTGGTCAGTGTTTTCCGTTAATATCTTCTCGATGAAGCCGCGGACAACATTTTCGCTAAGGAAAAAGTTGTTTCAAATCACCTCCCGAACCACCTCTTTCAAGGTATTACAACATTTTTTGGACACCCTGTATATGTAATGCTACATGTATGGTTTTATGGTCATATTAGATACTTTACTGACGCTAATACCAGTGCGCATGCGAAGCCGAATCTGGCATCAGTGTTGGACAAAACCCTAGGCTTCGAATAAATCTGAAGTTTGTCGATATGTTTGTCTCATTTCCTCTTTTGAACATTTTCCAAAGAAGGAAGCGAGACAAACATATCAGCAAACTTCAGATTTATTCGAAGCCTAGGGTTTTGCCCATCACTGTCTGGCATCACAGATCGCAGTAACCTTGTGGGGATTGCGTGGAGTGGAGAACGACACCATGCCGACCATGCGGCATTCATAGATTCATTGGATTCACTTTCCTTATTCGGTGAAGTTGGCACCGGCCAATATCAATAAAAACAAGCGTCAGATTACCGACTTACTTGACCATAGGGAAAAGCCAATATGGCGTCCAATTAACCAGTCAAATTTAAACCGTTGGATTCCTAACATTAAAACTTCTATTTTTGTAATTTATTTTTGGGCATCAGAATCTACTAAATGATAAAAAAACAGTCAGTAATTTTTAGTGCTCAGAAGTAAAGTTTAACCACAAATTGCAGCCAGTGTTGTAAAATGTAGATTAATTTTGATTACAAGGTAAGTTATTTTTTCTTTTTTGATTTATTTATTCAGCCATTGAAATTTTTTACAAAGTTTATATCAGCTATACAATTTCATTGTTTCATACACTCGTGATATAACTTATAACTTAACTGTCACTTAATATTAATATATAATAGTAACACTTGTATACAGAGTGTTCAAAAAAAGCTTTAGTAAACATAGGTCCAAAGGTCAACTATTTCTGAGATATAAACATTTTTGTTTGCTAGTATCATGATTGACTTACTTGCTTCCATCGCATGCGATGTTTATGTCAGTGCGTTCTGAATATTCCCGTTCAAGTGCTGACAATTTTGTCAATTTCATTTTTTCAATTTCGTGTATAGAAACGAGTGGTGGGCACGTGGAAAATCTTCTATAAATATCAAAAACTCAGTACTAAGTCAATCATGATACTAGCAAACAAAAATGTTTATATTTCAGAAATGGTTGACCTTTGGACCTATGTTTACTAAAGCTTTTTTACTCAGTACAGTGTGCCCTATACATTATATAAATATTGAATTTTTTTAACACCCTGTATACATACTAACACTGATACTATTGAAATTATTCAACCTTGTCTTCCGAGGGAAACCAAATTCTAAAACCTTTTACGTTTTTGCTGTAACCTATAAAAATACCTTCTTTTGCTTTACTATTCAGGTTTTTCCTTTTTGGTTTTGGTATATGCACAAATGTCTTGGTTCCAAATACAACTAATTTTTCGATTTGAGGTGTCTTCTTACACCACAGTTCATAAGGCGTTTTCTCAGGTACTTTGCTCTTACTTGTTCTATTAAGAACAAATACTGCTAGATTCACAGCCTCGGCTCATAATTTCTTTGGTAGATTTTTACTGTGTAGCATGCCTCGTACAGATTCTACAATTGTTCTATTCTCTCTCTTTCTCTGCAGAGCCATTCTGCTCTGGAGTGTAAGCAACAGTCCTCTGATGCTTGATTCCATGACTATTGAGAATTTCCTTTTGTTTTATCAATCTTCTTCCGTCTTACACTGGAGATCACATGTCTCAGTTATTAACAAAGAAAAGTAATCTTCATATTATAAAGCAATCTTTTTTAAACAACTCCTAACCTGAATAATTTCAACAGATACATACATACATACATACATACATACTAGCAATTAGTTATGAGATAACTCAAGCATCAGGTTTTTTTTTTCTTTTTTTTTTCTATATTTTCAAATTACACTGTCTTAGAAAGTTATGAATGAACATACAAGCCAGACTACTTGGTTTAGCAAGTATCATTTTCATTGTCAAAGGTAAGTGCAATTTGATTTTCTGAAGTGCTTTAATTAGCTTTGTTCTCTGCATATTGTATTGACAACACTGCCAAATAATATGATTTAGATCTTGGAATGGATTGTGTCATTTGCATTTTGAATCTGCAACAATTCCTAGATATGAGAGTGATCCTGCTAGATTGTAATGATCAGCTCCGCAATGATTAATAGTCGCAATAAGTTCTCGTGAAAAACCTCTATTGGTGTACCATGGCATTAATTTATCCCTGTAATAATACTGAAAATAAGTTTGTCCTTTTGTAAGGGCTTGCTATTTTATCTTTTTTTTGGTTTTTGACATGGATATTTTTTGAAGATCTTCAAATAGATCTATATATGGAACTTGTGACACTATATTTGAACTAGTTTCTCTAGCTGTTTTAGCTAAAAAATTGACTTTCTCATCGCCTTCATTGCCAACGTGCGATGGAATCCAAAAAAATTTAATTGTATTGTTCGGGTTTGTCTGTACAAATATATTATATTTTTTCTTAATTTCAAGTATATGGAAATTTGTTTTAACGATAATCTTTGTATTTTGAAGACTTTGTAGAGTGCTTAAGGATTCAGAAAATATATAGATGTCGTGACTGTCATTTTGTATGGCAATGTCTAACGCATCATATAATGCGTTTATATAATGCGTAGATTCCACTGTGAAGATAGAGGCACTATCATTGATGCTCTTTGTTATTTGAATATTTAGATTAGTGCACCTACATGCTGATTCAACATGTCTATTACCTAGAATTTTACTTCCATCTGTGTATATTGCATATGCATTGTTTGCAGAGAGCATTGTTTTCAATATTAAATTTGGATTTTCTGCTGTATTAAGAGTTGAGTCTAGTTCGATATCAATTGGGATTGATGTTATTATAGTTTTATATTCATGGCAAGAGATATTGTATTGTTTTCTTACCTCAATAGACTTAAAAGAATTTGCTAAAGTTTCAATACATTGTTTTAGTATTCGATTTCTTTTGTTCTTCACTTTTATGCACTTTTTGCAGTAATTATGTAATGTTTTGTTGATGGGAGAATTTACGTTTGACAATACTTTACTTAAATAGCACTTATACAAAAACTTTGTTCGCTCTTGAATGAATGGTAGTTTAGATTCTACTAGCAGAATATTGGTTGGAGTGCTGTTTCTCTGTATACTGTATTTTTTCTAGTATCTTAATGTTTATAACTATTGTTACTGTAAAATTTCTATTCTTTGATGTAACTCGGGAAGAAATGAACCAAATGCGATAAACCCTTTCACATTTAGTTGCACATGTATTCCTTCAGTTCGTTGTTTATTAAAGTGCATGGCCTATGCCATATTGCACTGTCCAGTACTTACAATATCTTTACAAAGAATATTTCTTAACCTAGTAACTGTTTCTTACAGAAATATAACATTATACATTTGGCTACTTGCCATACAAAAGACATCATTACATATAAATGTGTAAAATCTTTTACAGTGTTCTTGAGCTCGCAGCATTTATATTATTATCTTGTACTCTGCTTATTTTTAATATTGTTTCTTAAACAAATGTTATCACAGTTTATATTACAATATCACATTGAGTCGAAGGGCGTTACTTATAATTATTAAAAATTACATTAGCACACAGATGTTTATGCGAATATTATAAACAAGGTACCTTAATACTAATTATCCTATCTATTGTACTTTTAACGTTTCTTTTATACTATCAAACTGTCAACTGAAAGAAAAGGAGAACAAAAACTATAATTTGTACAAAACTGAAAAGAAAAACAAAAAGAAGTCTATTGCTTTAATGCATTTCTTAGTCAACTCCTTGGTTTAATTAAGAAATCATACGAAATGGAACAAAACTAAACTCTTATTATTCTTACTGTAAGAAATAGAAAAGTTTTCATCTTTCCTCTCATTTATGAACACTTACTTATTCTGTTATCACTTATTATTTAATGCAGACACTGTTCAAAATGATGACCTCTTGCTGCATTGCAATAATAAGTGATAACTATTCTGCCAAATAGCTACGATTTATGCTGCTCCATCGCAGAGTCAATCTTTGATTATTTTTACCCTGTATAACCTTATACTTATATATATATTTAATTTTAAACTATACATTAGTGCTCGGAATTACATATTTACAATTTCCTTGTGCTGTCAGTATTTGTTATTTTCACAGATAATTAAAGTTATTAATATTATGTTTGGGTCTATAAACATCTTTTATATATACACATAATAACAATAACTTTCCACATCACCCAAGAGGTATTATTGTTGATGCGTTTTTTTTAAAGCGGTTTCCCCTGTAGGCCTATTCCACTAAACGTGTGACTTGACAGAAAAAGAAATGAAAATTGCATATGACAGGGCAAGGAAATTTTGGTCGATCCTGGAGTGGTAGTGGGGGTACAGGAGGTCTACTACAAATTTTTGGTGATGTTCTTAGTCCGTTCGCCAGTCCTCCTCAGCCATAACATAATTGAAATTTCCGTATCTCTAAAAGCACGTTGCGTAGCATGTGTACCCGTGACTTCATCACATTTCTCAAGTGAATGGTGTGGTCAAGCGCTTAAGGCTTTGGCTTATGGTGACGCTGTCCCGTGTTCGTTTCCTGAAAGTTGTTATATTTTTTTTTTTTTTTTGTTAGTTTAAACATTTTCATGCTTTAATTATTCTATTATTTGCTGTGGAAAAATAAAAAACATTTAAAATCATATTAACTTAATTTTTTGTATGCTCCAAACAGGAATGTTTCTCGTTTAAACTATATGGTAGCTCTGAAAAGAGCTGATTTTGTCGTGATGTTTCTACGTCGTTAAAATAATTTCCTGAAAATAAGATAGCTAATTAAAAATATATTATTCTAGATATTGGCTGCAATAGAAAAAGTCAATGAAAAAATGTGTAAAACATAAATGTTCTTTACACCGAGAACATTTAAGTGCCACAACGTTTTCACAATGAATACATATCATAGATGCTAAATTTGTGAAACAGAAATTCGCTGGATTCTCGAATTCTTCTGGCCTAGTGTCCGTGTAACCGCATCGAAACCATGCGTATCGAAATAATTGCTCGTATCGTGGTGCGTGGTGGTAGACTTTCAGCACGAAAGTTGATTATGGATTAATGATTGCATTTTAATTATTGAATTTCTAGCGGATAAGTTCACGTCTATTTCCAGACTTATTACGAGGTCAGACAATTTTCTCGCAAAATTCTTCCAAATCCGGAATCCATATACATCGAGTGGTTGAATAAGTGGCGTCGTATTCTTTGGTATCGGGAGTACCTCTAGTCCTTTACTTTCTGGTATGGCATTTCTTATTATTTCATCATTATAACCGTTCCATGAATCCACAAATAACACGGTTTTGTCTGGAACGTTCGGAAGATAAACTTTTGTTAGCCAGCTCCTAAATAGTTCTTTAGTTAATTTTCCAGATGTCGAAGCTTCGATATGTACATTCGGCGTTGTAAATATTGTTTGTCGTACGCGTGGTCCTAATTGCCCATTTACTTCTTTCAATACAATAAATAGTGGTGAAAGTAATTTTCCACTTGCTGAAATCGTAGGCTGAATTGTATAACTATGAGTTGTTGCTGATTTTTACTGTATTAATGTATTGGGTTGGAAAGAAAGTTCGTAGCGTTTTTAAAGCAAACTTTTAAAGCAAAGTTTATATTCTTCCACATAATATTATTCTACAATGTATTTGGCACTTTGTTCTATTACTTTTTGCCATCTATATGGTAGCTTGAAGAATCCATTCTTCCAGAAAGTGTCCTCTTTCTGGGCGATAAACTGGTCCACGTGATTTTTGCAAGCTTCTATAGAGTTGACCTTTGTTCCATTTAGAAAATTTTGTAGGGATCGAAATAGGTGGAAATCTGATGGTGGCAGATCAGGTGATTATGGCGGATGGGGAACAACATTCTACCCAAGCTGCAACAACTTCTGTCTTATTTGTATCGAGACGTGCGGTCTAGCGTTGTCGTGCTGGAACACGATACCTTTTCGATTTGCTAATTCCGGTCGTTTTTCGTCAATAGCTGTCTTCAAACGGTCCAGTTGGGCGCAGTATGTATCGGAATTTATCGTTCTGTTATGCGGTAACAATTCGTAGTATAGGACACCTTTCCAATCCCACCAAATGCATAGCATGACCTTTTTTGGGTGAAGACCGTCTTTTGCAGTCGTTAATGGTACCGCATTTTGTTTTCCCCATGATCTTTTTCGCTGCACATTGTTATAGAGGACTCATTTTTCATCACCCGTTATTAGCGTTTTAAGAATGAATCATTTTCATTTCGCTTCAGGAGTGAATCGTTTATGGAAATGCGATCCATTATGTTTTTCTCCGTCAGGTCGTGCGGCACCCGGACATCGTAACGACTTACGAATCTGAGGGCCTTTAAACAATTCACAACGGTCGTGTGGGCTGTCTCTGCGATGTCCCGTGTTGTTTGCCGTGGATTATTTTCCACTAGTGTTCTGATTAAATCGTTATCGGCAACTAAAGGCCTACTAGAACGTTCTCGGTCCTCCAAATCAAAATTGCCACTTTTGAAGCGAGCAAACCATTTTCGCACGGTACTTTCAGCAACAGAACCTTCTCCATAAACGGCAGAAATCTTCCGTGCTGTTTCTGTAGCGTTTTTTCCCTTTCGAAAATAAAAAGCCATCAAATGACGGAAGTGCACCTTATATTCCTCCATATTTACTCTTCTATTACGTAGTTGTAAAATTGATTAATACAAAAATTACTTGCACCTTATATTCCTCCATATTTACACTTCTATTACGTAGTTGTAAAATTGATTAATTCAAAAATTACTTGCACAGAGAGACGCGTTGAACCATAACCTTTTATAATATGTATGCATGTCTTTTGTTTTAAACAAGCATCGAACTGACACACGCTTCCAACGCAAACTGCTAGAAAATGCTACGAACTTTCTTTCCAACCCAATACTTGTTTCTTTTTCACCTTTGTATGATAGTGTCCTTCCAGAATGGATTTCTAACTGGAAACCACTCTGATCTGTATTAAATATATTATTTTCGCCATACCTTTCAAAATATCTTTTTGTATTCGTTACAAAATTGTCAGCCATTGTACTTATTTCTTGTACATTGTTCTGATAATGGCGAGTAACAAATTTGGTCGTTTTTCGTGATACTACGTTGTATTTATTTTTAAAATTCCATAACCAATATGTCGAGGCTTGAAACCCTTCTAATTGTAAATTTATTGTTTGGTTTGCATGGAGTGCCCATCTCTTAATGTGAATGTCGTGAACAATCATTTTACGATTTCTTGCTTCAATAAATTTGTTTAGTGTTCTCTGCGCAATTTCCTTAAGCTTATTCGATCGTGATCCGCCTTTTTGGACTTGTTCTTCCCATCTGTATAATTGCCTACGATTTCTTACTCTTCTGTACCTTTTTTGTACAGTTTCAAAATTCAATGGTCTCTTTTTTCCGCTTTTCCAAAAGTTCACGACTTCTCTTTTGTAATCACTGCTTACATTGTAATCCTTTTCTCCGAGACCTTCCTCTAATAAACTTGATGGCTGTTCTTTCACGAAATGTGACGTTGAAGTAGAAGCCTCTTTGAAGTTCTGCTCGTCATTAGGTAATGATGGCTCGTCAATTGCATCATCGAATACTAGTTCGTCTTGTACCTCGATCTCTGTATAAAATGCTTCCTTACACCTACCAATCAAATTTATAATATTATTTGACAATTCAATCTCTTTTCCGTTTATGGGCGTTGACACATTACTACTGCTATAATTATAAGATTTCATTAAAATGTTTATAATATTAATGGCGTTGATACTCATATTGAATAAAATAAGTATTAGAAAATAATTATTAATTAAAGTAAAAAATTAAATTATTAATTAAAGTAAAAAATTAAGAATAAAGAATACGAATAAGGTGATCGGGATTTTGGCCTCGCCAATCTGCGCCGATTGCTTTATACTCTTGGAGACTCTGTGGTTGATGTCGAATTCTTCAAGTGTTGGTTATTCCGTTGAAATGTCGTTTTTCGCAGAATTAGTCCGCTACCTTACAGTTTACTCCTCGAATAAACGTGTAGAATGAACCTCCTGCCGTTTTGACTAGGATATTTATATTGTTGGACAATGCAATGGTAACTTTCCCCACTCCTACGAGGAGGCTTATTTTGTCCATAAAACAACATCTTTTATTTCGCGTTTCTTCCATAGTGCCATAAAGTTTATAATTTTCTTGCTCCATTTTCAAAGAATCAGCAAACTTTTTATTGCAACCCATCTTCAGGTATATGTAACAACGTCCTCGATTTTATGACACTGCACGATGTATCTTCCACATACTCCAGTAATAATTTATTTCAACCCTTCTTTACAATGGAATATAGAGCAACTCTTTTCAGTACCCGTTGTCATTCGAACCCTCTCTACCTATTGTGGGAAATTCCAAAAACTTGCCTACGTCACGAATTCCCACATTTTTGGAAAATTATTATTTTAACGACGTAGAAACATCACGACAAAATCAGCTCTTTTCAGAGCTACCATATATTTTAAACGAGAAACATTCCTGTTTGGAGCATTCAAAAAATTAAGTTAATATGATTTTAAATGTTTTTTATTTTTCCACAGCAAATAATAGAATAATTAAAGCATGAAAATGTTTAAACTAACAAAAAAAAAAAAAAAAAAAAATAACAACTTTCAGGAAACGAACACGGAACAGCGTCACCATAAGCCAAAGCCTTAAGCGCTTGACCACACCGTTCACTTGAGAAATGTGATGAAGTCACGGGTACACATGCTACGCAACGTGCTCATACAATTAATACCTCGAAAATTAACTTTTGATTTTGTTTTTCGCTAGAGGATAACGACATTCATATTGAATAAAACGCTAATTGATTTATTTACTTCGGTTCATTTGAACGGTAGAAATCAAGTCAACCAGCGGTCAATGTGTTCATTGCAGCGTCACGATCAATGGGCTGTAATATTAATATTTTTCGATAAATCTTTCCATAGAAATGTATACATCATAGTAAAATAATACTAGAGACGTGGGTAAAATTTCAAATTAAAATCTTGCATACTTTATGAGAAAAAAAATGATAAAGATGCCACATTTTCGGCGCGGAAATAGGAATGCCCAATTTAATATAATTATTGTTATATGGTGAAAATCAAAATTTCCAAAAACATGTATCCTTAATTATACCCTGTAGTTTACACATAAATTTTCATGAATGAGAAACAATATTTAGTAACATAAATTAACAAAAAAAAAAAACATTTTTTCAAAAATAAATTGTTTAAATAAACAAATAAACAATTTCTTCTGGCATACATAAATCACCCATTCAAAAGCGCATATTATGAAAACAAAACTTTTTGTCCTAGCTCCTCTAGTTTTCGAGATATATAAAAAAAACATAGTTTTCATCCCTAACTTTAGGGGCTGTTTTCACCCCTTCAACATGGACGATTGCAGATAAAAAAAAATAGGTGTCAAATATTTTTTTGAGAACTACCTACCCTGTAAATTTGATCAAAATCGGAGTGTGACAGTTGGATATGTTCCCTTGTTAGTTCTGTTACCTGCAAATTAAACATGTTATTATAATCAGGTATAGACTGTAATGTTATAAGCATTACATTTGATTTACTCACTGCATCTTTAAAATTTCCATTGTCCTGCAAATAATTTTCTAGTACGGACATATCCTCCTCTTTATTTAGTGGGTAAACGACTGGTAAAGCGAATATTGGACGTTTTCCCTCTGGGACTGTGTCCACCTTCAATATCCGTTGTTCCAACGCCTCCACTCGACCTAAAATATCTGTCAGCAGCGCTCGTTGCAAGTGCTGTTGTTGAATTATAGTTTTTAAATATTTTAGAATCTGTTACTCTGTCTTCTTGGCCTGAAAAATTAGATTTTTTACAAAATGTTTTTAGAGCGTACGAATAGAAGCGAAATGACTCACTGTTACTGCTATAGCCTGTTGCAGTGGCAGCTGCATCCTCTATACGCATATAACGTTGCGTTAGCACTACAAATTGTGGAAAGAAGCGTTACATATACAGGGTGTTCCAAAAATGTTGTAACACCTTGAAAGGGGTGGTTCGGGAGGTGATTTGAAACAACTTTTTTCTTAGCGAAAATGTTGTCCGAGGCTTCTTCAACCTCCTCGAGGCCACCAACTCAAAATACACGTTTTTGATGGTTCAAGTTTCGTTAGAAAATATTTATGGCACTCTGTAATCGCAGAAACATTTGATATAACATATGATGTACAGTAAATGAAAAATATAATAAGTATATAAAGTAAACACATTACACGCTATATTTTATAATTGAATATGCGGATCTCCCGTCTTTCAATAATATTGAAATTAATAGAACACAACGAACAATCTCGGTTTAGGATTCGAGATCTCGGCTGGGTACCGTGTGGGGAGAAAGTCGTCGACAAATACCGATCGGACACAAGCGTTAACGAAGACTCCGTGGTCGGCACAGAGAACCGAGGATCGGTTTTGGATTCGGAATCGTTCGGGATCTCGGTTTGGGACTCGGAACTGTTCGGAGTCTCGGTTTGAGATTCGAGATCTCGGTTTTGCGTTCGGGATCTCGCTTCCAATTCAAGATCTCGAATTATACGAGATCTCGAATTTTTCGATATCCCGTCTCGTCTCGAACATTCGAGTCTCATCTCGTCTTGAATTTCGAGATCTCGGTTTTTTCGAGAACTCGCCCAGCTCTAGCGCGTAGCCACGCCTACTGCTGGCGCTGCACCGGCATATGCGCGCTCTGATTGGTCGAGGTTTTCCGTTAATATCTCCTTAACGAAGTATCGGACAACATTTTCGCTAAGGAAAAAGTTGTTTCAAATCATCTCCTGAATCACCCCTTTCAAGGTGTTACAACATTTTTGGGACACCCGGTATATTTCAAATTGTATGTTTTGTAAAGTATTCATAATGACTAAATCACATACTTTCTTTTCTCATTTCCGGCATCGAGGCGAAGGAAAACAAGGATTCGTCAGAGTCCTCGCTCTCTGAAGAAATGAACCATTTTGTTTTTTTCCGTTTACGACTGGACTGTGTCTCGGACAATACTTGTTGCCTTGCTGTATGTATATGAAAGTATGAAATAACAGTCACAATGCTTATACGTATATGTTATCTTATAATTTTAACTCACCAAAAATGCTATGTTTAAATAACTTCACCGTGTGCATTGCCCACGATAGGTCCACCGGCAGCGATCTTTTTATCGCGGCCGCCAAGGCGTTCGTGTTTACCGGCGACCAGTAACAAATATTGCTCTGGACCCAAGTTGAAAGGACAGATCCAGTGTCCCATCCTTCTCGAATTGAACAACGGTCCACGTTTCTGGCATGGTCTTTCTAAAAAAATAGGATGCATTCTAGCGAGATTGAAACGTTCGAATTTCACAGCGTGGTAATGATCCGTTTGCAGTAGGCCATACCGTGTTCGCATCAAAAAATTACAGTTAGATGTTATTGTTGAGGTTTTATGGTGGATGAGAGCACGTGGTGCAATAAATAGAGCTCTCGCGCGATTTGTAGTCAGTATGAAGAAATATAAAAAGAATATATGTATTTGTTTATGTACATGAGTTAAGAACAACGAAATAAAAATAATATTGCACTAGGCTAACAAAAGGAAACAGGCTTGTACGTGAGACAAAGGCTCTTAATAACGCGCACGTGGTTTTGACTATACGAACGTGATTCAAAACACCGACTGGTACAAAGGTCGGCGGAAACGGTAGCGTTTCGGTAGCCGAAACAGAAGAAAGGGAGAAATACGTTGATAAACAAAGGCTCACAGGTGTCTCCCTCTTTTTCGTATTTCGAATACTTTTCGCATAACAACGTGTTGAAATGGAATTCGGGATATGACAGATGCTTGGTTTTCGACACAGATTAACCGTTTAATATTTAACACGACGTATACACTCTTCTCTTTTTGTACAGAAAGTAACATGTAGTATAGTACAATATGGTGACAATAAGCGCGGTAAATTCAATCTACTGAACGTTTACTTCAACACAACGAATCAATTGTTAGAAATATTTTTCTAACAGTTATATTATAAATATATTAGAAAAGAGCGATGTATATATCAAGTGTATGGATAATATCGGTACGGTCTACTATAAATCGTGTTTAACGCGATGGAAAATACTGTGATAGGTATTGCATGGATGCAAAGAGTTCTAATAACTACGAAATTACTCAAGAAAATAATAAGAACTGTACGAGAATAGAAAAAATAACGTATAAGATATGATGAGTGGCATTCTTCATTATTGAAAAAAGGCAATTTTAAATTAGTACTGTCTTGTGAATATTAGAGTTGAAATGAATTTATAATTATTGATTCGAATGTAGTAAGGGGAAAATGACAAATTCTTCGGCAATTTGCAATTTCACACATTTATATTTTATGTCTTTAATGTCGAACATTTCAAAAGGTCCTAAGTATGGATCTACTAAAACAATACCCAGCAATGAGGATTTGCATGGGTTAGTATAAAAATCTGTTGCAGTTAAAAATTTTCGACCGACTAATTTATATTGATTTTCTACTTTAACTGTATTCTGCATAAGAATAATACTACCGTCGCGAAATGTGCAGCAATTATTAGGATCGGTAGTTTTCAAAATATAATTTTCAAATACAACGGTTCCAAACTGTTTCGAACAAGAAATGTTTCCTACTAATGAAGCTTCGAAATGTTCGTCTTTAAGAATTGAATACCGTGTGTTTCTACTGCTTTGAGTACAACTGAGATCGCGTTCTTCTAGATATCTTTTTATTATTTGTTGCAAGGGTTTAACTTTTTTTCTAATAAATTTTAAAATGTTTTTGTTGGATTTAATATATTTATTGTATTTATTTGATTTTTAATCTTACATATGTCAGCATGTTGGATCGTATAATAATGAAAAAAACTTATAACTGTGTGCGCGCAAAAACAAAAAGCAATGAAGGAAAAAGATGGCGCCACACCAGGAAACAAAAGAATAAGAGTTCATGATGTCGAAATATGCACTATTTACAATAGTTTTGTAAACAATTTTCGAATGGGAAACAACTGAAGTTATCAAGTGGTCCATATTCTATATATATAATAAATTCAATATTCAACTTTAATTTTTGGTTTGTCCTTTACGCATAAAGCTGGGAAATCTTTACTATTATAATGAAAACGTGGTTTACATAAGTCTTCTACTTCTTCTTCTCTTGATTTTTCTGTTGGAATATTCAATTTTACCTTTGCTGCTGTGTGAGCCTCCTGAAATAGCCATATACCTATTTGTCAACAATTCCAATTGAGCAAAGATACACTTGAAATTTACAGTAATGAAATTATTTAAGGATTCACCTTTTATAACAACCTTACCATCATTCAAAATGTTGACTCCTTGGTCAAACACAATAGTAGTACCCATTTTCTGCATTTTTGATACTGATAATAAATTAAATGGCACGTCAGGTGAATATAATACATCATTCAGTTCTCCTTTGACACCTATACCAGTTATAACATTCAGCTTGCCCCTTTTTGTCGCCGTTATAAATGTATTACTCTTAGCTACAGAAATTTTTACTGGAATCTTCAATTCTTGAAATGTTTCTACTAAGTCTTTCCTATTTATTATATAATCCGATGCTCCCGAGTCTAGCAAAAATTGTATTGTACTTCTTTCTTCTTTGCATTTATAATTTCCCGCCATAAATCCAAAACCACTATTCTCTAAATTTGTCTCTGGCTGAACACATTGTACAGTTTGTACAGTGTGCGATGTTCTTTCCTTTTCAACATTTTTATGCTCAATTGCCTTTTTATAATAATAATAATTATTATAATAACAAATATATAACAATTCTTCTTTAAATGTCCTTTTCTGCTACACTGATAACACTTCATGATTCTTGGATATACCTGTTGAATATTCGACAATTTGTTTTTAAAACTCTGTTTATTTCTAAAATGCGAGTAGTATAGCTACGCGGGTTCTAAGCGATGGGGTTCCGAGAGGGGAGCGGGGGAACCGAGGGCTAGGGGGAGGGGGCACGAGTGGTGGGGGGTTGGTAATTATTACCTACGGTCGGTAAGGTAGGATGCTGTTACGTGCCAGGGCGATAGCGACGCGCGTGTGAGCCCTGCGAGTGCGGTGGATTCGAGAATTGCACCGATACGGTTAATTAGTATGTATCAATAGAGCTGAAGATTTGAGGATATAGTAGATAATGCTGACGACTCTGACGCGAAGTCCGATAGTTGCAGGAATCGGTATCTCCCAGTAAGGGGTAACCGTAGATTAAGGTGTTTGGTTGTCTTGGTTATTGGAGACAAACGCAGACGCCTCTGACGCGAAGTCAGGTAGCTGCTGGGAATTGGTATCTCCCAGTAAGGGGTAACCGTAGGG